TTGTAAGTCAAATAATGTGCGAGTGGAACAAGTACTAAGAAATTATTGACTTATATTAGGTTAATATTTCGTACTGAAAATTACTTGTAAGTTAGTTTTGCCTTATTTCAAGTGTACTAAGATATTTGCAAAAATACCTTGTAAAATTCTCTGTTTTTGCAGTGTATTTCTAGATTGAGATTAAACTACACGCAGTTGGACTCTACGTTACTAACCTTAAAAGGAACTTGGTTGGACTAGATTTTATGAGAGGAATCAGGTTAAATGCATGCCACACTTTTTAGATTGGCCTATCTCAGGGATTCCCAACTCCAGTTCTTTAATTCTCCAACACACCTGCATTAAATGGCTGAATTCATTCGTTCAGCTTTGTTGACACTGTGTAATGAGCCGTTCATTTGATTCATGTTCTCATAAAATTATAACAAAATACATGGAGGTGTGTGATTGTAATGTGACAAATTGTGGAAAAGTTCCACACATTTTGGAAGGGAGTGTACAAGCGGTTCTGAAAAACAATGTGAGATCATTGGAAATGTTTGCTATTCTTGGATTAATTCGGGTGTTTGTTGTCGCAGGGAAATGAAGAGTTGCATCGTGGGTGGCCGCTGTCTATTAATACATCCCGGATGTCACCATCTTTCTTTCCTTGTGCCCACACATGTCAGCCTTTTCAACTTGAACGTTTACAGCTTCTTGATTCATGCCGTCTATTTCACATCCTCCAGTTCCGTCTATCTGCTGTCCTTCGTAAAAGTTTCTGTCGTTCTCTCTCCAACCACACAGGCATGGGTTTGCTTGCCTGAATTTCTCATTTCCTGTTTGGGGCGTGTATCCCATCCCTTGTTCTCATGCCCAGCACACATCAAACACAAAACTGCTGCTGGAAAAAAAAAAAGAGAAGAAGAAGAAAGAAAAAGGCAGCAGCGGATATGCTAAAGGCATATAGCTCTGAGAATGATGGCTAAATAAGATGTGATGGTGTGAGTGGTGGATCAGAAAATCTTGACCAATGACACAGAAAAAGACAAAACAAAAGAAAGTGGAAAAAAGGAGGTCATAAATGCAAGGTGGTTATTTACTTACAAAGTCCAAATAAGGCAAAAAAAATCTGCAGAAAAGATGAGCTCATCCTGCAAGATGGCTTTTTTATCCTTATCTAACTTTTGAGGAATGTGGGCTGATTTCACTTCCCATTGTAATCTGCTTTTATTTCGTGTAATTATCTGTTCAGCCGGTTCTTTTTTTAAATTTCCTGTGGTGCCAGTCGGTTGGATGAGAGAGCTGCTTGAAGTTAAACAGCCCAGAAACTTTGTCCTCCGGTCCGCTTCACATTTTCACCATGAAGAATCATTTGCAGTCGGGCTGTGTGTGGGCTCAGAATCAAATATGGAGTCATGGCTTAAGAGGCTAACATAATTATCCTTGCTTTATTAGTTCAAGAGTCCTACTTGACTACTTCTTTGGGGGGGGAAAGGGATTTTTAAAGCATTTAATCATGGTAGTGACTAAATAAACTGAATGAATCCACTTGAATTGATTG